AAAATAAAAGTTTAATCAACTAAAACTTTCGTGACCCCCATGCAGTTCTTCTGCGGACCCCTTTGGTTTAACCCATGCATTCCATACATTAATAAATGTTAAATGTCTACTTATTCCTTTGTACATTAATTTATTATCATGGGAAAATCTCATTATGTATTTCATGGTCTCAGGAATTACTTTAATTGTGAAAACCATCTTGCCATGCCCCTTTTGGTACCCCCACCCCATTTAGTAATTTAGGCTATGGCTCTTAGCAACATTATTAATCGGAAAACCAAATAAATGTCTCTGTTCATTCAGATGCTACTGAAAAAAGAGTGAATCCAGCCTGAGTGAAAAATCGTTCACTGTGTAAAATGAGCACAAAAGACCATGGGTTAAAATACAATGGTACCTTTATTAGCTACAATCACACAGTATTATATCTAATAACTAAGCAAACATTAAACACTACTGAAAATAATAAAATTTAAAGAAATAAAAGGGGAAGAGGGGTTTAAGAGTCAGAGTGATGTTTGAAGTTTAAGGCTTAATGCATTTGAAATTTTCCTTTGTAACAGCAGCATATAAAATGTGAATAAACCCTGATTCAGAGATGTTAATCACGACAAAAATAGTGAAGTTTCCTTGAGTTTATGGTGAAAAAATGAATAATGACTCAGGAATGCATTAAACTATGATGAAGCTGAAAGACCCGTTAGCTTAGCTGGATCCAGGGGTTCTGGTTCTGGTCGGGTCCAACTATAGTTCACCCAAGCAGAGCACTTATTAAGCATCAGATGGAAAGGAGGGAGAAGGGTGAAGTTACTGTTTTGGTTCGGTGGAGTGAAGGCCTTCAGCTCAGTCCGGTTTTCTGCAGACCCGTCTTCGGTCCAGTCCGTCCATCGAACAGCAACTCAAAGAGATTTGGATAGATCCGATGCAACAACAAGAGGGTTCATTTTTTAACTCACGGTAGCACAGGGGACTTCTCCCGTATTAGCTACAGTGGTTCGCTTGTAGCCGCAGCCTGTAGCAGCTCCTCTGTGCTGCTCAGCATCTCCCTCTAACGGCTCCTTCTGGAAACAGCGATTGGGCCCCCCGTTGTTTGGCAGTTAGCAGAGCTGGATTAGCTCTTCTGTCTCTGCTGCAGCAGGATTCAGGATACACTGTGTTCCCTCAGTTTGAATAGCAGGGAGAATAAAAACACTGCGTTCAGCTCCTTCTGATTAACAGGAAAAAGGCACTCTGACTCGGTCCAGCAAACGCAGACTTCTCCTGAGGGGTTTGTTTGCTACGTGGTGTAGCCTCCAGCTGGAAGCTCTTGCCTAGCCTTTTAGCGGCACAGAGCCACCAGCTAAACAGGACGCTAATATGGGAAGCTAGTCTTTTTAAAACCAATGCCGGAGGGGTGTGTCTTCAGCGACAATGGATCGCAACACTCTCTTTCTACAACATATCTTTGATACAATGAAAACCCACCACTGATTTCGTTCCTCTCACACTTTTCTTTAAACAAACCATTTAACCAATGACACAATACCCTAACATTAGAGACTGAAAGGTCAGACATTAAAGATCTTTATTTCCATGAACTTTATTAGTGTCTAAAACAGAGTTTTATTATTAGGTGATCATACATGTTAGGTGCAGATAGTGTAAAACAACAGTCTTAAAGATTCAGCAGACAAACCTACATGATGGTAACTCAATGCCTGTCAGCGATTCACATCCCCTTCTGATCTTCTTCTATTTAAAATAGGCTTCATCTTTCTAATTCAAAATATAAAGCCTCCTACAGCTGTGCTGATAGTAGGTATCACAGTACTTTGTGTTCCAGAGATATTTGTTTATGTGGGGTTAGTGCAGTTCACTGATGTTCATAGGCGGTTCTAGATAGGGGCCAAAAGGGTCCAGTGCCCCTGTTATTACCCCTGTTCTAAAAAAAAATCCACTCTTTTTTTTTTTTTTTTTTTATGTAACGCTAAAAGGTTTTTATAGTTAACTGTTAATTAAGTGAGCCACAGAGCCAGTTGCAGCTCTGGTGCTGGACGATGAAGAGGAAAAATGTGGTCCTTTCCTCTTTTTTTTCAATCATCATTGAAGCAGCTCTTAAAAAGTACTGAATGTAAACGGTTCAACTTCTCATTTTCTGTGCCAGAGCAGATCATCATGAGAAAATCACTGTATTGTGTCTTTAGTACAGGGGCCATAACAAGGGGCCAGGACTATTTCTAAAGGGGCACTGGCACAGCACAGAGGCACTAATCATGGCAGCACAAGAACAGGAACTCAGTACAAGATCAATAGAGGCCGGGGTCTACCACACTAGGCAGGACCCCCGGTGCAGACTGTGCAAAGATGCCTCTGAAACAATACAGCACATAACAGCAGGGTGTAAAATGCAGGCAGGAAGTGCATACATGGAACGCCACAACCAGGTAGCTGTCATAGTGTACAGGAACATCTGCCATGAGTATGGGCTGGAAGTCCCGAGGTCAAAATGGAAGACACCTCCTAAGGTAGTTGAGAATGACCGAGCTAAGATCCTATGGGACTTCAAGATCCAGACTGACAAACAGGTGATGGCTAACCAACCAGACATCGTGTTGATCGACAAACAGCAGAAGAAGGCAGTAGTGATAGATGTGGCAATCCCAAGCGACAGCAACATCAAGAAGAAAGAACACGAGAAGCTTGAGAAATACCAAGGACTGAAGGAGGAGCTAGAAAAGATGTGGAAAGTAAGAGCAGCAGTGGTGCCAGTGGTAATTGGAGCACTGGGGGCTGTGACCCCCAAACTGGGAGAGTGGCTACAGCAGATTCCAGGTAAAACATCAGAGGTCTCTGTCCAGAAGAGCGCAGTCCTAGGAACAGCTAAGATACTGCACAGAACCCTCAAACTCCCAGGCCTCTGGTAGAGGACCCGAGGATGACACATACCACCCCATGAGGGGTGAGAAAACAGTTTGTTTTTATAAATATATATATATGTATATATATATATATATATACAACTCAATAAAATCAAGCTCAAAAGGAGATCAAGGAGTGCAGAGATGTGCCTTCCTTTGTTTCTTCTTATTTTTTTTGCATGTTAAGTTTTACAGTTAAACAAATAATCACGAACAATCAGATCTCTGATATAAGATGGAGCTTGGTCATTTAAGGCTTTATATGTGAGAAGGAGGATTTTAATTTATTATATATTGCGATGTTTGTCATAACCACCCCTGGCCAACTATTGGCCCCCCTGCAGAGGTGTCAAGTATCGAACTAAGTACTTAAGTACACTTTTTAGGTAACTATAATTTACTCCATTACTTAGTTTTCTTCCTACTTCTGACTTCTACTCATTACATTTTCACACAAGTATCTGTACTTTCTATTCCTTACATTTTTTTAAACAAACGTTACTCTTTACTCTTAGCGTCGGTTTAATGTTTATGAATATTTATTTCCCGTCATGTGCTCCATCCAATGCAGATCATTGGCGCCATCCACGTCTAGTGAAAACTAGTGTAATTGGATGAGTCATAGAACGCAAACACTCATTGGTTAGCTAAAGGAAATCATCAGAAGCAAGCAGGTCTTCTTCAAACTGCAAACGTGAATTGTCTATGCCATGCTACAATGTGGGATTCAGACAAAGATGTTGAAATGTCTGAAAGGTCGGACACAGGCGAGAGCGTATCTAGGGATGGAGACCGACAAGACCTCCCTCATCCTTGGCCCTATCTCAAAGAACTTTTAAAAAAAGTCAAAAAATTGAGCTTTCAGTTCATATAGTGGCATCTGACTGTTTTTTTCTAAAGGTTACTTTATACTTTTATACTTTAAGTAGTTTTTGGAGCACATACATTTTCACTTTAACTTGAGTAAAGAGGTCAAGTTGATACTTCAACTTTCACCAGAGTCTTTTTAAACTGCAGTATCTATACTTCTACTTAAGTAACAAATGTGTGAACTTTTGACACCACTGCCCCCCTGTGATTTGTTGTTCCCATGTGGATGATATTCTGTTTTTTTACAAGACTGTAATGTTCACCTGCACACCTGACTGTTACTATTGTAAAAACTGTTTACATGCATCTTGCACTACTCACTTTGACTGAATATTGATTTGTTACTGCCGACTGTTTAGTCAAAGCACCAATTGTTTACATTTAAATCTGCAATAATGTACTTTAACTGTAATATGCAATTACCTACCACTGCACTTTCATTTAGATAGCTTCTGTCCAAACTTTGTTTTTTGATTTTATAGTGAAACCCATCTGTATATATGCTATGGTATATAACTGTAAAAACCCTTTTTATGGTAATATCCACCTGTATATTATATTCGGTACATATCCAGTTGTAAATTTAGTTAATAACACTAGTTATCTATATATTATATTAATCTATTAGTAAGATTCTGTTTATAATGGTATTCATCTCTATACTCATTCAGTAAAACCCATGTCCTGTATTTAAAGAACCATTATTTATCCTGCACTTGCTGCTATTGCACTTCTGGTTAGACCTAAACTGCATTTCGTTGCCTTGCACCTGTACCTGTGCAATGACAGTAAAGTTGAATCTAATCTAATGAAATTGGCTGTGGGTCATGCAGTTCTCCTCTCCACCAGAAGATGGCAGCAGTGTGAACGTCATGTAGAATATCTTACTTTATGATTATAAAGTCGGTATATTAAGCAAAAAGTGATTAAAAAAAAACTATGACAATATATTACAATTAAGAAGGACTAAGAAGGAGTTTTCATCTTTAACATGGTAGAGTTTGTCTCTGCAGTCATCTAGGAGTTTTTCTATGTAATTAAAGAAAAAAGAAACTGCTCAATCCATTTAATGCGATGTTTTTGGAAGCTGCCATAAAATATGATTTGAAACAAGAGATGTTATGATTGTTGCATTAGGGGAGCCGGTGCATTAATGCCGTTTTAATGTGAGCAATGGACCTGGATTCAGTTTGGTTCTGCAGGTTCCTCTCTCTCTGTGGGCGGAGTGAAACCAGGCGTGGGAGGCGTGTTCGCCTTCCACTTCACGGAAGAGAGCAGATCCCGAACCTCCGAGTCCGAGCAAACACAAGGAAGAACCGAACCGAGGTTGGTGATCAGCGGACCTAAAGCCGAACCGGAGGACGGGCTGGGTGCGCGCAGCGGGGCGGCGCGCTGTCTGAGCGGCATGACGCGCTCCTGAAAGGCGCAACAACCAGCAGCAGCAGCCGCGGAGTTCAGGGAGCTGACAGGAGACATGGCCCACGTCGGCAACGGGGCGGCCGCCGAGGAGGAGGTGAGAGGCTCCCCTGCTTTCATCCTGACATCATGTTGTGCTTTTTAAATATTCCTGCAGCTCTCAGGCTTCCTCAGCCCGGATGTCACATCCTGTTCTTATAACCTTCATTCATCCTCCTAAGCTGCTGCTGCTGCTGCTTCGCATTGGCTTTAAAATACTTATTTAATTTTAAATGTATTCTGTGCAAATAATGAGGTCATCAGCAAAGCTGCTTAACGTTGACTCCTCTGTTAAAACAGATACTTCAAACTGGTGGAGCTGCTTTATGAAACTGTTTCTATTCCACATTTATTATTATTATTATTTTTAAACACTATCAAAAAATCTCTAACATAATGATTGATGATCTAGAGGGTTTAGACAATTCTCACGAAATACATTACATCTGGATTAAAGGGGCTTTATGAATGACACAGTGCCCTCTAGTGGTAAAGGGGCCAGATTCCTCTAAATCAGGGGTAACCAATTAAAAACCAGCAGGATCCGACTAAAGACAATCATCAACCAGTAAGGGTCCTGAGACGTTTTTAATTAGAATCTGTTACTTTAAACAGAATTTAACACTGAAAAATTAAATGGGTCCGACCAGGCTCAGACTGGGAACGATTTTTGGTTGTGGCATTTTTCTATCTACACTGGCCCACTTATGGACCGCCCCCCGAACAAAATAAAAAAAAGAAGCACAGTCAAACGAGTGCGTCTCACATTTGAAATACAATACAAATACACATTGTGGATTAACCGATCTATCCTCAACCATCTCCAAGACTTCTATAATGACATTTTTCTGGCATTATAGAACAGTGACTACTGCTGTGTAACGTCACCACATCAGCAGGTTTGCCACATGTCACTGGCTCACGTTTTCCAGCCCAAAGAAATTTTCATAAACACCTGGATATACGACATCGCACAATTTGAACCAAAATCTATTGATCTCTTACTCCATAAATCTAAAGAAAAAAATTTTTTACCCATAGAAGGCCATCCTAAACCGCCAGATTGGAAAACATCCCAACCTGGAAACCACGCACGTAAGACGGGAAACGTTAGCCCATTATGCACCGCAGCATATTTTTGCAAAATATTCTAACCTAAATTCGCCAAATATAAGAGGAACCTCATAGTTTGGTTAAAAGAAAGCATTTTAGTTTTAATATAAGTTAGTTTGATGCAAGGATTTTACAGTTTGAAGAAATAGAATATGACACCATATGCCAACCGTCACAAGAATGTGCATGACAAAGAAAGGGTTATATATAATACACGCAATGTTTAAACAGTTAACATTGTATTAGTTCTTGAGCTCCTTGAGTTATTTACTGTCACGGGTAGGAGCTTCAGCCAGAGAGTATTTTCAGTGTACGAGGGCCGGTCCTCCTTAACTCATATCGTCCCCAAAAATTACTCTACACAGGGCTGATGCTCTGTATCACAGATTACCAGCCTGAGCCTGGGTCCGACCTAGCAAACAATCTATTCGTTATAATGAAGATGGATTTTGTGGATAAGCAGAAGCGAACGACAGTCGGCCCAATTGTGATACCAACAATGTTGGAAAAAATCAAAAAGAAAACTTAATGGATTACGAGCGCGAATACAAGAATAAGCATTAGAGTGCTGCAGTTGTGTTTAGGCCAGAGGTGGCGGCATCATCAGGAAACTCCATCATGCCTCTTTGAATGTGTCTCTTAAATGTATAGTGGAGGATTTTCGAAGATTTTTGAAAAGACCCGCCCTCTTCACTTAAAAAAAAAAATGCACACGCACGACCCTTTACCCGCTCCCGAGAGGGAACAACTATTAAACGCGTGCAATTTCTCCTCGTGCACGCTCTGTTTAAAAGTTGCTAGTGGCATCGCTCATACCAGCTTACTTTCCAAAAGAAGGTTTGCAATTTTTCCACTATGTCAGACTCGCCACCGGGAAAATGGGGACGAGCACGTAGGACGGCCTAATGTAAACACCAGAATGATTGACGATTGGGAGAACTTATTTTGATGATCCACCCAAAAAAAGAACATTCTCCAATATATCTTTAAACCAAATAAAGTTTTTTTAACAAATAAAGACATGGGTGCCTATAAAAAATAAAAGATTAATTCATTTTAACTAACTGCACAGACATCTCTATTTGAATCGCTTGTCATGACTGCTGGGTAGCTTTTTCAGAGTTTGTGATATGGAATGAATCGTTATGACTGGAAAGGCCTCCTCATCATCACCCTAATCTTTAGCAGTGTTCCACAGATACTTTAAAAGATCTAGCCAAAACTGAGCTAATTAAACATATCACTTCCTATCAAATTAAAAAATCGGTCTTAACCTGAACATGTCAGGGGTGTGAGTCATTTAGGGCTTTTCTGTGTATCCAATGCAGCTTTTCAGTGAAAGCAGATTTAAATCGGTTACATTTATCTTTGAACTTGTGAGAAAAGTCTTAAGAAATAGAAACCAGCAAAGTGTCTCTTAATCTCCGGTTCACTGTCTTCCCCTACGTCAGAGCAAGTCATCGCCACTTCCTCCTGACCTACTTCTGTTTCATTCTCATTCTCAGTCACATGCACATCTCTTTATTGTTATATGGTTTGAACCATCAGTGCAAAACACACGATCGCCAGAGGCGCCTCCAGAAATGTTTCATGGGGGGGCCAGATGGGGCCACTAAAAATCTTGTGGGGGCAAAATGAAACTAAAAGCCTTCATTTCGAGTTTAAATCTACTATTGTGGTAAACCTGCCTTTAGAAATCATAAAGACTGAAGTAAACGCCTACTCATCCTGGTTCACTGTGTGATTTTTAATGCTACGTCGCTGGCTGTGCAGAATGAGATGAAATGCTAAACTGATGCTAGTAAAATTTACACTGGTGAGTGTGGTGGCCAGGGCATTGCACAGAGTGCCCGTCTAAATTAAAAATTGAAAATGATTAATAATCAAACGAAATGTTAACTATGCCCAGAAAATGGAGGGGTTAGCATCGGATTTATGTGAAGGCCTTGCTGCTCAATGCTCTGATGAATCGGGGAATGCGTGCTCGTATAGATCAATATCAAAACAAAAAAACCTACAAAAATATTGGCGGGCCGACGCATCGGCCTATCGGTGGAGAATTCGCAGCAAAGGTGTCCAGCTCGGGTCTTTGTTCTGGAACCTTGAGATGTGTCTGGTGATGCTGTGATTTGTTTCAGGTTTGTCGGACCGGGGATACGTAAAAAGGCTTCAGGCAACCGGGCCTTAAGGGCTGGAGTTGGACAACCCTGATGTACAGACTTATCTCTGTGATTTTATATCAGAGGCATTTTCACAGCACTTTAAAAAAACTTCCAGCCCTTTTTTATGGTTATTTAATGATATATCTATGTTGTTAAATAGTAAAATTTTCATTTATCTTTAAAAAAATAATAATTTTTTCCAGGACAATGAGATATCGTTAAGGCCTTGGAGACTAAAGTGGCGTTTAGAAGCATTACATTTCACCTATCAGCATGACTTTAGTCATTTTTCATCCATAGTTGGTTCTGTGTTGCTTTATCTCATTATATAAATGAACTTTTTATGAGATGTCCCAAAAGTTTAAAAAAAATTCTATTTAAAAAAAACAAATCCTGTCTTAAAATAATTTTTTTTAATTTTCCTGTTATCTTATGCAGGCCAGTTAGTTATACGTCAGCTTGTACAACTAAATTCAACCAATCATATATCAACGGTCATCTGTCAATCAATTTTTTTGGTCATAGCATCTTGATTCATATGTCGCAGTTAATATACGCAGCAAAAGTTCAATTTCTCCAACTGCAGCACCTGCTGCTTGGGGAAAAACATTGCGTACCATTTTTTTCATTTTTTTTTAGTAAAGGGCGCACAATGTACGGCCGATTGCTGGTTGTAAACCAACCAATCAGCGTGCAGCTCATCTAAATATTCTTGATCATACCATAAAAGGAAGAAAACCTGTCGTTTCATTCTAGGGCTTTTAACCAGGCTTGCATTAGGGCTCATAGAACAGCAGATATGCTATTTGCAGCCCAACCAATGTTACACACCTTATTCAGAGACCTTAAGCACTAGCACCAAATACCCTATAGACTCATTATATGACCCTTTAAATGATCAGGGTAGCGTTTTATCATTTCGTCCTTACGGTTTAGTTTTTTTTGGCTTCTGGTCTCAGTCAATTTTTTTTCCACTAGGAGCCGCTGAAATAAAAAATCCAGCTCAGGTGAGTAGTTAGCAATCAGCTGATTATGATGCTTATCCATCTGCAGCATGTAATCAGCTTTCAGTGACGTAATAGTGTCCCTTTCTCTGCGTGTGTGTGTGCAGTTATGCAAATAGCAGCTCTGATTTCAGTGACCGTCTGCCTGCCGCACACAGAACAACATTCAGACTGACTCCTATTGTTTTCTGTTTAAGCCCAGCGACGGTCCTGCAGAGTCCAACCCATTTCAAACTGGAAAAGGTTTAACGTTTAACTCATTTGATCAATAAATCTTGTTGTTTACCCACATGATCCGACCTGGTTTATGCTGTTTAAACTGGGTGTGTGCCAGTGCTCAAAGTGCTTGCATGTTCCGGAGGAAATCTTTAAACCGCTCTGTTGAAACGTGTTTTTTATTTTGTTTGTAATAAACAAGGAGATGTTTTCTTACAGGTCTAGGAAGTAAAGGATAATCTATCAAGTTTAAGGGGCAAAAACACTGGTGGGGAAACAAAGCCAGTGTTAAAGATTAAAGAAGGTGTTTGCTGTTATCTTTACGAATAAGGCAGAGATTTAAAAGAGCAGAAAAAGTAGGAATGAGTTTCTAACTGTTTAAAATTCTACGAAAGCTGTATTAGTAATATGGAGGGAAAATTATGCTTTAAAAACAGTTAGAACCTAAAACCCGACAGCTATTCATGAAGGGTTGCTGTAAATATAAATAAAGTAAATGATTCAAACTGAATTTAAAGAAAAAAATCCTGAAAGAAAAAAGATAAAAAGTTCTCTAAATTATT